CCCTTTTATTTTATTCTGAAATGTGACCATGTTATTCAGAAATTTGGATTTTCTCCTCATGGATAAGCCTTTCCCACCCAAACAGCAGGTGAGATGTGGATGATTGCAGAAAGCGCTAAACGGTGATAGTTAAGATGTTAGGTGTTCTTGCTAAAAATACAGCTACAGGAGTTTATAGAGATCAAAACACTCTTATAAACTGTATGCGGTGAGCTATTATTTGGGCTGCACTCTTTGTGGTGCTTAGTGCGGTTGCCTCGCAGCAGGACGGTCCTGAGTTTGATTCTGGAAACTTTAGGTTCATGCAGGCTCATATAATGAGTTCAGCAGATGTGCAGTTCCAGCAGGTGTTTGCTAATTGCTGCTGGCTAGTCTGAAGGAGCTGAGTGGTTTAGTCGAGGTGGAGGGCTGCTCTGTATGGTGGCCCTGGATCTCAAACCACATCAACAAATCACTAAACCCAACTACAAACTGAAAAACACAACACAAACTAGAACTACAAATTAATAAAACACAACAGTAACACTGACATATAAAAAGCTATGTTTTCAATGCGGCATTAAATGATGCTCACCATGATTGGTCAAGAAATAAATGTGCAACTGAAAGTGTGTTTGGACACAGTCAGTCCTTGATGTTGTCCAACCCATGGCAGTGGAACGGCTTTCAGGCCTGAGAGCTGTGGAAAGTCTTCATTGGGTCTAAATGAGAAGAACAACACACACGCACACACACACACATCCTCTGTTTCTGTTGGACCACCAGACCGGAGCTGACTTATTTGTGGAAATGTTAGGAATTCCAGCAATGAAGCTCAGAAAACTGAATCCGAACCAAAGACATCCTGAGTCTTGGTGATGTCGCGCTCTGAGTTCGGTACGGTGAGGTTTCTTATGTCGTGTTAAATTCTTGCTCTTCATTTTTTTTCATAGTCCTGTGACATGACGTGGTTTAAAAAGGTGCTATAGAGAAAACAGAGCTAAACAAACAAACTTTGAGTGTTTGACAGCAACCCTAAATCTGCTTTCCCCTTCACTTTCTCTCCTCATGGCTGAATTTCAGTCTCCCCTGCAGCTTCTCAAAGATAACTATTAGCCTTCTTCCCTCTGAATGCTCATGCACGCTCTCACAAGCACATCCACAGAGGCACACAGACACCTATAAATGTAATTTTGTATCTTTAGATACATGCAGATAAATTTGCATAAACTTAAAAAATGCGCGCACACACACATTAAAACTCAGCAGCCAAAAAAAAAAAAAAAAAATGAAAGGAACAACATCAGTGGTGTGATTCCATCCTGAGGATGCCAAAGTAGAACTGAAGTATTGCACAGGCCTTTGATGTGAATCCAGAGCATGGGCATGTAACAAACGTAGGTACCAAATTACACCCTGTCCCACTTTGATCTTCATAACCACATGCCTGCTCCTACAGAGGTAATAAGCCTGTGAGTGTGTGTTTGCGTCGGGAGTGTGTTTGGAAAAAAAAAAAGAAAAAAAAAAAGGCTTGTCTGAATATTTTCATGTTTATAAGCAGTGGCACAAAAGGATGCATGCACACATGTGTGTCGCAGGCTGCAGATGCGTGCTGCAGAGCCGCCGCTGATGCTGCTGGACGACGGCGCGTGGCTCCGGGGGAACTGAACACTCGCGGTGGCTTGTACGCGCCTGGAAAACCATGTTCCTTGAGACCTTCTGCTGAGTTTGTCTTGTCGTCACATCGTCCGCGGCGGACTCCCCACTCTGCCTTTCGCAGCCGATGACGATCGGGTTGCGTCTTGGGTTTCCATCTGAACCGCCCTCTAATCTCATGACTGCGAAGCGTGAATGGAACCACTTCTCGGCTCTGTAAGGTCATCCCCTCTCAGGAATTAGCACAACACCTGTTTATGTGTTGTTCATTACCTAAGTGTGCCTGAGGTTTTCAAAGCGGTCTGTTGACTAACATGTTAATAATGATGAGATGCATACTGCTGCACTTTTTAGTGTACAGGCGCTGTATCAATGAAAAGCTCCTTTATTTCAGTAATTCAGTTTTAAAAGTGATATACAGATTGGTTTCACGTTGATGGATATATTTCTTGTATTTGTTTGTTTGTCCGACTTTCAATGATTAAGGTATGCAGCAAACAAAAATGCAAAATTCAAGAAATTAAGTAGAAATGCGGCAAACTCGTGTGTTAATGGAAAAACTCTGAAACAAACCCTGCTCTCGTCTGCTCTATCGCAGCTCTTTCTGCATGAATTACTCCATTGACGCAGCGTGGAATCGATGCAATCGGCTTCTACTGAGATGTGCAGGAACTCCAGGTTGCTTTTACAGTGGCCTTCAGCTCAGAATAAATCCAACAACAAGCGATAGACGCGTGATCAATAACAGATATCTTATAAAATATTGAATAATACTCATTGAACTCCAATCCAGAACCGCACAACATTCTGGAAGATGTAGACAGAGGAAAGTTCTTAGCTGCTCAACCTAAGCAAGGTCAACTAACTCACTGCTCTTCGGTTACCTAGCAACTCACTCATTCTTCGGTTACCTAGCAACGACCTGTCGAGTAACTGCCGCAGCAGCAGTTTAAGGCTTTACCACTGTGCCTCATAACTGCTTAAGAATGAACAAAAAAAAAAAAAAGTCGACGTGAAGGTAAAGCAGTATTTCACATATTTAAAACAAAAAAGTAATCAAAAACTATCAGTATTGTCGTGCTTTTGGTTTCCGATGTGACGGAGGTGTGTGGGTAGCGAAGATTCACGACAAAAAAAGAAGGGTCTCTTGCATGAACTTTACTTCTTCCAGCAACAATGAGTTACAATGGGAACTGAGCTGTTTCAACGCAAGAACTGTGTGGTTTCCGGCCTCTAGCTCTAGCACAGACAGCATTTAGCAATGTCCGGGCAGTGAGCAGTGAGAGCCATTACCAACAACATAAACACCCAATCTCGCGATACTAGCCCTGCCTCCAGAGCTGTGTTGCATTCGCTGATCTAACTTAGGCTCGGAGAACTAAAATACAAAACCCAGCTCAAAGTCTAATAAAGTTTAACCTTCCTTACAGTATCAACTGATATGAAACGCTAATATAGTGATACGTTTTTGGGCCGTATCGTCCAGCTTCACATTCAGCTTGTCTACAGATGGCTCCAGTGTCTCTGCTCTTCCTTAGACAGACTAATTCATCTAACACTCATGTTTTTGGCCTGTGGAAAGAAGCCTGAGTACCCAGAGAAAACCCGTGCAGGCAGAGAGAGAACATACAAACTCCATGCAAAAAGACCGCAGGCTTGGATTTGAACCCAAGACCTTCTTGCAAGGCAACAGTGCTACCAGCTGCATCACTTTGTAGCCTAGTACTATTTAATATCAATATTATAATACCCAGTGGCGCAACTACACATTATTCAGGTGGATGCGAAAACATAAACCGCCCTCGTAACACCGAGGTAAAACTTGCCACATTTACCTCGTTACGTACGCGAGGAGAAGGAGCGTAAGGCGCGCTGAAGTGTATAGGAAAACATAATCGGCGCGCCGCCCTCTCCACACGGGGTTTTGACGCCCCCTCTGGTGCTGCGCCCCTATGCGTTGCATGCGCTGCATACCCACTTTTTACGCCACTAATAATACCCTCCAAAAAACTTAAAAGCAACTGTATATCATCATACCATGCATATGCAGTAAAGACATGTTTGCTTAATTTCAAGGTGAATCTGTGGGTACATGAGAAATCTGGTCATAAGAAACAAGTTGTTAAAAATAACTCAGACCCTTTATTGACATAACTTGAGAGATTCATTTGTCAGCAACTTAGTATTATTCGAAGTGATGATGAGAAGTTTATTCGTTTTCATACATTTTTGAGGGAAAGTTCACGCCATATTTTAATTTTAGTGGAAAAAATAAAAATAAAACATTTATGAAATGCACAAGTCAGTCTCCTCAAATCACAAAAGTCTCCCAGCAAACCAAAATACATGACAATAAATCATAAAAATATGTGTTACATCTAAAATGATATTTGGCACCCAGAGAGAGAAAGTGAAGATATGTACATGAGATTTTAGACATAAAGAACAACATTTATGCCACCTGCAGCATCCAGGATGGTTTGTTGCATCGACTGCAGAATATTGGCTGTAGCTGCATCATTCCTGGTTTTCCTTTGGCCGAAGCCCTCTGCCAGATGTCAGATCTCCTCTGCCTCCTCTCTTCCTCACCTACTTCAGAAAATGTTGATGGCAGAAATCTTGTCAGATTTCCAGTCTCTAATCCCAACTGTTCTCATTTATATACTGTGATTCCTACCAACTGGGTATGCTTGCTTCAGAGGGTAAAGTCAGTAAAAAAAACAACAACAAACAGTTTAAAGATTACATTTTCATGCTTACATTGTTGATGTGCATTCTTTCAAGGTTAAAACTGCGTTGGCATACAACAATAAACTTTTTTTTTTCTTTGAGTACGGATTTCTTTTCACTTTAATCATTAGATTGTATAATATTAAAGTGGTTTCCAAGTTTAGAGTTCATGTAAAACTCTATGTCTGAGTGATGTAGATGATTTAGTGTGATTGCTTTTTTTGGCAAGAAATTTAGCGACATGGATTGCTAAACTGGACACTTCAGACACTTGCAACCTTTGGGGTTCAGAATTGCTTTTTTCATAGCCTGAGTGGGTAAAGCCTCTTCTATTCTTAATGTTCTGTAATACCTTGGAACAATTAAACTTATGCCATTAGTTGTGAGATTTTTGTGCAGTTTGTTGATACGTTTTACATACTATCCATTTTGCACAGATCCAGCAGCTTAGTTGAATTTAAAGAGATCCAGTTTTAGCTAATAGCTTTAAGAAGGGGTTGACAAGTTGAACCATTTGCTATATGGTAAATACACAAACAAGTAAAAAATTGTTGAAGGGCATACAAAGCAGCCCTGCGACAGACTGGCGACCTGTCCAGGATGTACCCCGCCTCTCGCCCGGAACGTTAGCTGGAGATAGGCACCAGCACCCCTCCCGACCCCACTGAGGGACAAGGGTGTTCAGAAAATGGATGGATGGATGGATGGCATACAAAGCAATTCCTGGCAACGAAAAAGTGTCATCCCTCCTCTAAAAGGATGTTTAAACATTTCAGATAAGGCACAAAACTTACCCAGGTAACAATGATGGCTTTGTGTAACATAACTTAAAATTAAATATCTCTGTTGTGATTAATAATGTTTTCAAGTTTAGTGAAGTAGAAAGTTACGGAATCACATATCATAATAAGAAGTAGCTTGCTACACATCTTTTTTTTATTGCACTATGGTCTTCATTAGTCAGGTCCCAACATTCTGGTACAGCAGCAGACAGATCAGCTGTCCAGGACTGACTTCAAATCTTATTTCCACCTGACTGAATGAGAAGCATGTCTACTGTTTCAATGCCACCTTGTGCATTTACTGCAACCGGTTTCATTGGGATGACACCAAGAAAACATTCTAGATGTCCTTGAATCTACCTAAATGTTTCTCTGTCTCAAGCTTCCCATTTCATTTCCTGTTGCTCTGAATTTTAAATTTAGCTCACTGGATTTAAAAGGGATTCCACTTTTTTTTTTCTTTTAACAAATAGTTTCCATATTTTTCAAAGTAATCTAAAACAGAGGTGCGTCATTGATTTCCACAGCGAAATGTAAGTTGCTTAGGTGTATTTAGAAAAGACAGAATATTGGGCTGTTGAATCAAATTGTTGGTGTAATTCTTTTTCTGTAAAATAAAAACATCTGCCTAAAGACTAGTGATAGCAGATAGTCTGTATATAGCTATAATCAGCTGTGTAATTGGGATGTACGGGACTACGATCACATCGAAACCTTTCAGGACCCTGCTCTTAATGATTAGTCACAAAACCTTTGATACAGACTTAATTTGTTAGCTCGCTGAGACAGAAATAGTCAATATTTTAGCGAACATTTCAAATATACAGGTGAATGTATTACATTTTTAAAATAATTTCTCAAGGCTGATATTTAAAATAGCTAACTATCAAAATATTGATACTGATTTCACATTTTTACACGAGGGCCACACAGTGACAGTGCTGTCACACAGAACATTTACCTCTATTACAATCTACAAAATGATGGATAATGTGTTTAATATTTATATGTTGCGGTCAGCGGTTTAATGGTAAGAAAGAGTAAGCATTGTTATCTAGCAGTTTATTTTAACAGATGAAACTATTTCTAAACATGTGGGTAACATTTTTGAATTTTTAGCTCGCATAAGGAGTTTAAATTTGCTTGCTAAAATTGTGGCTTACTTAACTTAGGGCAAAGCAATTTTTCACTACTGACTGATTAAAAAGTATACCAAACCCAGGACAAGCTATTAAAACTGTTTGCTAAATGTGTTATATTAATCACATAATGAATAAAGTAGCTTTCTTGGATATTGGGAAACTATGTCTCCACTTAGTAACCATGAAGGCTAAATAAAACATTCTCCTCTAATAGGAGATTGGCACTGACTTTTAATTGCCTTTTTTTTCTAGGCGGAAAAACAAAGTGTGTGGACAAAGTTTCTTTTTGTCTGGATTCATTATTAAAAATGACTACATCCTCATAAATACCACACCAACACAGCCAAGGTAATTTTGTTGCTGAGAGGCGATGATGAGTCTTCATGCACTTTGTTGGTGTTTGGCGACACTTAGTGGTGAATATCTGTCATTGAGAGGATTTACGTCAGTTACACTGCGTATGACTTTGCCTTGTCACAACCAAAAGGCCCCAAAAGGTTTTTGGCACATTGTTGATTATAAGAATTACAAGATTTACGAGCAACCATTACGCAGCTTGTTTACAAACATATGCGAACAATTGCCTGCTGAAATGGATGCATGATGTAATGGAAACTGTGAATCCACTGGGACGGACTGTCTAATCAGGAATAGAAGGGCAAAGTTTGAAGCGGCCGAGCCCTTTTGTTTGACTTTATTTTTGTGAATAATGTTTTGTTGTGTTTGGCCCTGGCAGCATTACTACCAGACTTTTTGTTATATAAAGCTTTCTAAGCACTACAGTAGAAAAGAAATGCATTGATTTGAAGAAAAAAGGCAAGTGCCTAAAATGTCTCCGAGCAGCTTAATTTAACACGTAGCACTAACAGCGAGTGAATTTAATTTTTCAAGTAAAGACATCCAGAATCTCACAAAATGATGCACATCCTGGACGTCCACACATTCTCTTGGCCATGTCCGTTCACCCCAGGATTATTCACTTCGTCAAATACTCCACTGTCGATTATTTCCCTCTGCCAGCAGACGGAGACTGCGCCAGTGCTGAACTCCTTGAAGAACTTCTCGTCCTTAGCGTCGAACTTGACATCCTTGATCTCAGAGTTGTCCCTAAAGTCTTCAGAGTCCTTGGAGTAGACCACAGTAGGTTTTGGCACCCAGGGGGGCTCCACCAGCCCTGCCTCCAGACGGTGGAAATTGATATTCTTGAAAAACGTGTGAGTCCTCGGGTCGTCGTCTCTACTATAAAACACAAACAAATACATCTGTTTTTATTGAATTGGCTCATGTGACTTGAGGTGTCAGACTAAAAAAAGCACTAATTGGACTCAGTGTGTACATGAAAGCCATTAATTTGGGGAGTTTAAAGATCAGTTTTAATATATATATTTTTACTACAAACACGAGTCTAAAACACATTTTGGTAAAGAATTTGATGATCTTAGTTCTAAGTCAAACTAGGTCAGTTTTTATTGCTTAAATTAAATTAAATTTATTTTTTTTAACTTTCAATATAAAACAGGAAACTAAATATTAATTTGAGAACATTTCATAATAAAAAGCTGAATTATTGTCATTCCCATGATAAGGAATCTCTAACTTGCACTGTCACTTTAAAAATATTAAAAAATATAAACAGCTATTCTAATTGAATTCCAGTTAAATAATTAGTTTTGTTGTAATTTTAATGTTCAGTCTTTGCCAGATTCTCATCATCTTTTTGATCAGTAAACCCAGAATAACAGGTCATCAGTCACAACAACAACTTAGGATGTGATATCAGGACGTAAAAATGTCATAATTATAAAATAGCACAAGCAATGTGAAGTTGTGTTTTCTTAGCTGTGCTTATTAAAATGTAACGCCCTGTTTGGATCAGAAATGTGTATCCAGCTCTTCTGATCCTGTTCGTTCTTGTCCCCATGCACATTTCTCCTACTGCCACATGGTTTCTTTCTTAACACCATACACCAGGTATTTTGTAGTGAGGGACTTTTCTTACCGGCACCCAAGGCGAAACAGAACCTTCTTCTTGAGAAAGTGGTTGATGATATCTTTGGCCGGACCGTCAAAGCTTTTGTCTTCAAACTTGCAATCATCCTCCAGAGTTCGACGAGTCACCTCGCTGTTCTGCACCTTTTCCCTGAAGTCTTTAAAAGGCAAACGACCAGCCACCATCTCATAAATGCTGCAGCCCAGAGCCCACCAGTCCACAGACGTGCGGTAGTACTCCTGCTTCAGGATCTCTGGAGCCATGTAGCCGGTCGTACCAGCCTGCAACGGACAGAAGGGAATCGTCAAAAACCGATGGGAAAAAAACACTAATGAAAGACATTAGTGTCACAAGATAAAGTTGGTGAATGTTAAAGTTAAACATCCATCCATCCATCCATCCATCCATCCATCCATCCATCCATCCATCCATCCATCCATCTTCCACTTATCCGGGGTCGGGTTGTGGAGGCAGCAGCCTAAGTAGGGAGGCCCAGATTCCCGTCCCCCCAGCCCCTTCTTCCAGCTCCTCTGGGGGGAATCCCAAGACGTTCCCAGACCAGCCGAGAAACATCGTCCCTCCAGCATGTCCTGGGTCTTCCCGGGGTCTCCTCACGGTGGGACTTGCCCAGAACACCTCACCAGGGAGGCGTCCAGGAGGCATCCTGACCAGATGCCCGAGCCACCTCAACTGGCTCCTCTCGACGTGGAGGAGCAGCGGCTCTACTCTGAGTCCCTCTCTGATGACCGAGCTTCTCACTCTATCTCTAAGGGAGAGCCCAGCCACCCTGCGGAGGAAACTGATTTTGGACGCTTGTATCCGTGATCTCGTTCTTTCGGTCATGACCCAGTGCTCATGACCATAGATGAGTAACGTAGATCGACCGGTAAATCAAGAGCTTCACTTTTTAACTCAGCTCTCTCTTCACCACGACGGACCAGTACAGCACCTGCTTCACTGCAGACGCTGCGCCAATCCTTCTGTCGATCTCCCGCTCCATTTTTCCCTGATTTGTGAACAAGTTATAATTATCCTAATTAGTAGAAATAAGTGCATAAAATATATCACTCTGTGTGAAACATAAATATTAATGTACCTTTTTGAATTGGGCTCTGATGAGGCTCATTTATTAGAATTAAAGGATCTTTTAAAAATAACAAACTTTAGGCGGATAGTAAACATCCTTTTGATTAAGCCCACATTGTTATACTAAAAATTTATATTGGTCTGATGTAATATTCTTCTCTTAAATAATGTATTTTCATTAACTGCAAGAGGGAAATTGTCATAATTAATAAGTAATTAATCTATATAAGAAGTTTCATTTTGTAAATTGAGTTAGAAAAAATAAATTAACTTTCCAAAAATGTTCATTTGTTAAATTAGGCTGCGTAAGCTTTTTTAAGGACTAGTAATTGGGGCAACACTGATGTTGGCAAAGACAATTGTACTAATCAGTAACTGGGTGCTGAAACAAAACAAATCTTTAACATGTCTCAAGGACAATATTCCATTAAGAAAAGGAATTAGTTTCACACATTTGAATAATTTATTATTATATTTTTCAAACTACAACTTCAATTAATTTAACATAGAAGACTGCATGTGCAATACTTCAAATTTGATCATATCTATGCACTTTATACTCAGACACCTCAACAAGCTATAACACAATGTAACGCAAAAACAAAAGCAAAGCAAAACATGACAACAACATTCCTGGCACCACCGTAAACCTCAGAGGAAGGGAGTCTTACAGCTGCTGCGAGGAAGGATATGCAACACCGCTCCTTTGTGCATTTAGGATGCAGTAGTCTGTCACTGACGGAGCTCTTGGGGTTTTCCTTCAGTTTGGACCAGCTCTAAATCACCTGACTCATCATAATGAACAAAAAAAAATGCAGGACCCGCAATGTTTCTGGCATTTGTAGGACGCAGATTAGTCAGCTAATGCTTACAGGCTGCACCTGGTCCGCTGTACATTTCTGAGTCAGAGCAGGCTGTAGCTGAGCATCAGGTCAGGCACCTTTTAACGAGGTAACTTTTGGCTGCATAGGATCATGCTCGACTGTAAGGAGCGCCATCGTCCCTGTTCCCGATAAGCTACTTGAAATAGCAGCTGAACCGTGTGGTGAAAGTAAAGAAGAGAAGGTAAAGATGTACCATGTCTGAAACGAGCTGCTAAGGGTTTTCCCATGCTGTGCTCCGAGTAGAGGAGGATTCAGCAGCCACACAAACCACATGAATGTCCGGTACTCACCCTCTGGCAAGTCATTTTTCCTTTTGGCAGCTCCACGGCCAGTCCCAGGTCTGACAGTCGGCACTGGCCCTTCGCATCCAGCAGAACGTTCTCAGGCTTCAGATCTCGATACACGATGTCCATAGAGTGCAGGTGGAGGATACCGGAAACAATCTGGGCTGCGTAGTAAACGACACGCTCCATGCGGATGCCTCTCCTGCCCAACTCGTAGATGTGGAACCTGAGGTCTCCTCCTGACATAAGGGTCATGACCAGACACAGGTGGGTTTTGCTTTGGTAAGCGTAGGCCAGGTTCACAATGAAGGCGCTGTTGACCTTCTCCAGGATCTGCTTCTCCGTAAGGGCCAGCCTCTCTCCTCCTTTCTTCTTCAGACGCTTCTTGTCCAGCTTCTTGCAGGCGTACATCTGACCTGTGTGCTTGACCTGGACCGCACACACCTGTCAGAAAAGGGCAGCATGATTCATTTTAATACCAAGACTGGTTTTTAGCGTCTGACAGATTGTTTTAGTATCTTAAAATCCACTGCCTGGTCACATTGCTGCCAAAAAAAAAGGTCACTCAGTCTAATTATTATGACTTCCTGTAGCTTTCCTATTGCTTAGAGTTCAATCTTTATGCTGCCTTGCAAACTGAAGCCTTTTTCTCAAGTTAGCCTCACCAATTAGTGGTTATTGAGTTCTCCTCAAATTGTGGAATTGCTCTTTCTTTCACTATTAAACATAACCCTGAGTTCTGTTGTTTTTCTTTAATTAGATGTCACCAATCGTTTAAGTGACAAGTGATTCATCACCCATCAGTCATTCGGGGTTTTTCCTACCACATTTCTTCCTCAAAGATGATTGTTCCCCACTATCCTTCCAGTTTCTAATTGTGGATTGGACAGTTCTTAACCCACTTCCTTACAGTTTTAGTAATTTCTGCAGTCTGCTTAGATGTTTTCTCTGCTTGATGGAACAGACTAACCCTTCTTCCATGACCACAGGAAGTGTCTTTTTATATGATTGTCAAATGAGAAGGTGGCTATTCCTTCAGTTTTGGGTCAAACAGCTTATCAGCTGAAAGATCATCAGCAGTGCAGTAATTACCCATTTACTTTCTGCTGACTTTTTCCTGTGCTGATATTTTTTCTTGCCAGCAATGGCGGAACAGAAAATTGAGAAAGATATGGGACATTAGGACAAAGCACTCAAAGCAAAACCTTGTGCTATGTGAATTAAAATTTGTCTTAATCTCTTGCTAACCTTTTGCTCGTGCAACAAACAGATGATCTCATGATGAGCGCTCACACTGATCGGGTCAGAAGTTCACATATATTAAGCAAGAATATCATCTTCAATCTGGACTTTTAATAATTTATTTAAACCTGTGATTTTAAAGAATGAAATGATTATGAAACAAAAAGCGTCAGTTGTTTAAAAACAATAGAGTGCCCATGTTTGAATTATTTGTGCACCTACTTTAATCAACACATGGTCAAAATGATACATGTCCCTAAATCTAAAAGTCTGGACACATCTGACTCACTTCATGCAGTCAATTTCTCCAGAGTGCTGCAAATGATCTCATTACTTGACTCTGGTGTGTTGAAGTAGGGACACATGTAAAAGTTGCAAAGCACCATCCCTGCGCTGTAGTTTTAATGAGCTAGAGAAAAGCCTATTAATTTGTCTGTGTTCTACTTTGAACATGTTGATTTTGATGGGAAGCTTTGTACCGACCTCGCCAAAGCCACCTCTGCCCAAACTCCTGAACTCGTAAAAGTATCTGTCAGTAATCTTCTGCCTCTCGCACTCCTTCCACTGCAGGAATCGGTAAAAGAAGGGGCTTTTCATGTACTCCAGGAAAGGTTTTCCTTTCAGAAATTTTCTAGTCGCTTCTCTCATCTGCTCCACGGCTGCCTCGTCGTTTTTGTTGAAAAGAGACAGGCACGCCTTGACGTCCTCCGCTGTGAGGAAGGAGAGGAAAGTCTGAGACTGAGGCTGACAAAACTTTGACAGTATCCTCTGTTTGGCCTTTTCCTTGGTTCCGTCCTCGGCGACGCTCCAGTTGCTCAGCTCCTCCAGAAACTCAGCAACAGCCACACACTGAGAGTCAGAGGTCAGGAGAAACTGCTGAAACAACTTCCTTCCTATAGGCTGCTGCTCACAAAGTGACTCATAGGTCTTCTCCAGTGCTGCCCGAGGAGCAGAGGACTTCTTTGGCGTGGGCAGCGTCAGAGACACTCGCCGCATTCTTAGCTCGTTGCTATCGGGCTCCAGAGCTCCCAGGTAGGCTGTGTTGGCCACCAAGCTGACCAGACCTTCCAGGTCACCCATGGGCGGATAAATCCTGAGGCGTACTGGGAAACAGCTGTTGAACTAAGAACACTTAAATTCGCCCATCTGGAAAATCGAGGCACAAGAGAGCCCATCGAGCTCCCGCATCTTGAACGTTCTCGCTGCCTCGTCCCACACGGCCTCGCATGTTTTTGCAAAGACGACACATGGGGAAAGCAACTTATGCGGTTTGAAGTTAAGAGGATTTAGACTGGTCTATTATTAGGAGATGCAAAGTGGCTGTGTGCAACCGCTGAACTGCCACTCTGACATGAAGCGGTGCCAGCTCCAACCTTGAAGTCACTGGAGACCACTGAATTTATGAGTTTACACAGACTTCTTTAGAGTAACCCCTCTTATTGTAATAGGAGTCAGGTTTTTACTACATTTAAAAAAAAAAAATACAAACAAAAAAAAAAAGACATTATGTTGTGAAAAATACTTATTTCTTACAGCCATTTTTATTTATACTCATGTTGGTACAAAGCACTGAGGTTGCTTCTTTTTTCACATCAGCCTCAGGTTGAACAAGGTTGATGCAGCCTTCCAGCCAATAGCATCTCTTATTCAATTATCCGGCCATCTCTCTTCCACTTACTCTCCCGTTTATTGGTTTTTGAAAACAAAAATTCAAACTTTTACTTAGTTCATTGCTTCGTTCATTGGGTTTCAAATATAACCACCGGGAACACCTTGACACTGGAACAATGCCAGCCTTACATGTAATCCAATGCTCACAATATAATGGGTAACAAGGTTACCTGCCATGTAGAGCAGTTTCGCAGCCTAAGCACAACCTGTAACCAATCAGTACCACATGTACACTCTATAAAAGCTGTTTTTGTGTCTATAAAAGGCTCAGAGGAGCATGCTAGACAGAATGGGAATTTCAAACATCTAACTGGAATCAGAATGTAATTAAGCTGCAAGGTTTCAGTGTGCAGGTTTTAATTATTTGTGATATACTTTAAAACTCAAAGTCCTATTCTGACAAATAACTGAAAATTTCAAGACTGAATGAAGTATCTGTCACACTTTGACACCTTTATTTGAATTGTATGAATTTTATTCTTAAGAGTGTCTGAATCACAGTTATTCACAATCCTTGATCCTTAAAGAAGAAACTCCCATTTTCACGTTGTGCCAAACACCACAGCAGACATTAATGTAAAGCTAACATGACGCTCCAACACACTTTATTCTGAAGTGTGATCCCTTCAGCCACGAATCTGTGCAGCTCTAGCTGTGTCCATTGTCCTCCTTTGACACCAGGTATAACGGAAACATGCAATTGAAAGGGAGAGGACAACGCAGGACATACTGCCGGGATCAGTGAGAAGTCCGTCACCATGTTCTGGTGCATCTGTGCACAGTACATCTGGATGTGGTGCTTATTTGCCGATTCTCTGCACCACCCAGTCCTGCTGGCAGAGGGGGCAGCGGTTGTTCTGCTTCACCCAAAGTGACATGCAGCAGTTATGGAAGGAGTGGTTGCACTCTCCCCATACAACTGAAAGACAGAAAACAAACACAACCTGCTGAGTTCAATGACTACACCAGACAAAACTATTTAGAAAATGTTTTTTACAGAAAATACATCAGGGAGGTGGGTGAAAAAACAAAGTAGCAATTGTTTTACAAGTTTGGGGTGGGCGATATGGACTTAAAGTTTCATCACAGTACGTTGTGGTACTATTGTGATAACGATAAAAGTGAGGATATCAATTATTTACTATTCTTTTTTTTTTAGATAACGGAATGGCACAGCAATCATAGCCCCACAAACACAAATAATTCTCTTTAATTACAGAATCCCATGACTATTGTTAGAAATAGAACTAGGGAATTGTAGGTTGATTGTATTTTGCCATAACACTCAGTAGCAGCAGCAGTAGCAAGGGAATTTCAATGAGTGTTTGTCTGAGATCATGCTGTTTCTACAGGGTTTTCAAACAGGGATAGAACTATAGTCGTAACATCTGACGACATATTTCAGTTAAAATAACTCCGTTTATCTTTCTTGGGCTCTGAAATAACATATGCTGCTGTAGTTCTTCTGAATTTCTTTAAACAGGTTTCTGTAATTAGCAGGCTGAATGTTGTTTTTCCTGACAGCTCCCACTAATTAGCCAACGCTAGCTTGTTTGATTAACTTAACAGCTACTGCTATTAGTAAATTGTGCTTTTTTGTGTCAAGTATCTTACCAACACAGTCTTCTTGTTTATTCTCCGCCTGGCATCGAAGGCAGGCGTCTGTAAAACGTAAAGCGAACAGCGTTACTTCTTCATTTCTACTGTTACAAACCTGTTAGCTTCATTAGCCGTGGGTGAGAGCTGAGCTAACAACTCATCCAGACTCACCCATTACTTGTACCCGACAAATGGCACAAGTATCGCACTCAACGTCCCAACTCCACATGGCTACTGCATTCCACTTCTTCAGGGAAAACATCTTGTCCCCACCCGACTTAGAGCCCGAAGAGGTGCTGTGCGACAGGACTAAACCCGGCTCGTCACCGTCATCCATCTCTGCCGCAAAACGGTGCTAGCTGGCGTTAGCTTAGCTGCACAAAATGGAAGGACGACAGCTGTGCTAATGCTAACCATGTTAGCCAGCGTCTTGTTCCTATAGCGACGGAAGAGGACGCTGTTTGCCAGGCATTAAGTGGAAACCCTTTTCATATAAAAATGTTTCAAACTATAAATATCTACATTGTTGTATTAACTTAAAGTTAACTTATTTCAGCAATTTGAATAACATATGTGTAACTTCTATTGGCAGTTATTTCAAATAGTTAAAAAAATGTAAAGTAATTTAATGTTGATTAATAAATATACACATTGGAAGGTATGTTTCATTTAAAATAACCACAAAAGGAAGAAGCTGGCTCTTCCTCATGCAAAGGGTGGAAAGGTGGAAAGTTTAGTGAAAGAAAAAATGTGAAAGATTTATTTAATTCATTGAGATGCATCTTAAATTAAATGACCCTTTGAGTACGGGCATTTACTTTTAAGATCTTTTAAATAACAAATGTTAGACAGACATCCAAATTCACAGCAAGGAGTTGTAAAAGACTGTAATAAAATGAATGTTATGTGATTTATTTTTTTTTCCAACACTTACACTAGTTTCAGGATGCTCGTTTGGATACATCCTCATAATAATTTTCTTTGAAGATTGCCACCTGGAGTATGATGACAGAAAGAGAGAAAAAAGGTCTCAAGTTTCTTTTTACCCCTGAATGCTTCAGAGGCTGGAGCTCTCTGTACGCAGCTCACTGCTGGAGCAGCAGCAGCTTTCATGTTTCCCCCGTCTCTCTGGACACTGAAGACTTTTAAAGGTTCTCACCAAAGCTTCAGCCAGCTGATCTGGACGATTACACTCCTAGGGAAAACACTGTGGACTGGTTTAGAGGCACTTATACTATCATGACCGCAAGGACCCAAAGACCTGCAGGCAAGGAGGAAGACATAATGAACAAACCGACAGGTAATTTAACAGGAGTGGAGTAGATAAGTTGTTTTGTAATTCAAGCTTTAACTTTGCAATCTCAAAAGTCGTTTAACACTCTGGATCCTTAATTGTCAGTGACAGATGATGAAACTCTAGTAGATGTTACCCAAACTATCCAGTCTGAAAGGTATTTGACAAAAGGTCAAGCAACCTATTACCATCCTTGTAGCCGTTGTGTTTTGCTATTATGTGGTTTATTTGTTTAACACCTAATTACATGTCATATAAATGACTTTGTAAACAAGTTTATTTGAAGTTGAATCCAATGTGGTCCAAATTCAGTTCAGGTCATATTGTGTGTAACTAAACTGAATGTGAATTTTCTACTTATATTTACAGTTTTTATTGTGACAGAGTTAATGTATGTTTATTAGCTTGTTGGATGAACTTTAAAGTTATTTCTGTCAAAAGTTTAACATGAGAGCTGATATGATTGCTCGTTTTAATTTAATTACATTTTCGTTCTGCAATTTGTTTTATCCCAAAAAGTGCTTAAGGTACTCCCTGACTCGCTTTATGCAGGTATTTCTCTGTAAAGCTTCATACATCTATTTGTACACTTTTTCAGTTATTGTTATTCCTCCTCAAAAAGCCAAATGTTTCTGATAACTTTAGTTATCTTTGGATACTTATTTCCACTGTGAATTAATGTGAGCTCATGTTTTTTTCAGGGTTTTTATGCATGATACCTGACTAGTTCAGATTTCTCATTAATGTATTTACACAGATCTTCCCGCCAACAAAAATGTGGTCGATTAGTAGTAGTTTTAAATGTTCACACGTGTGTCAGACTTTGGGCTTTGATTATGTTTGGAAGAATATATATTTAGGAAAATCCTTTTTTTTTTTTTTTTCAAAGTAATTGAAAGTTAATTGCCCAAATGTGGGGAATTGATTGTCTGCTTTCCTGTACTTGGATAATATAGAAACAATTCCTTCCAAAAGCTGTAAGACTGAATGAACATAATCATCTTAAAATCTGAGTTTAAACTATTTCTGATGTAATCAAACGCTTCCCTGTTGTAAATCTGCTGAGATGTGTCCAGATGTGCCCAGATGTGAGCATGGAAGGAGAGAAGGCTGCCAAGTGTTTGCACAGATGGTGGAAAAAAAAAATTCACATAGATCACTTACAAGTAACTTTGGGCAATTAATGACTGAACAAGTGTATCATTTTCAAATTAGTTTGTATATCTGAGAAGAACAGGAGTTTTAAAAGCTCCTCGGAGTACAGCTTGTTTTACATAGTGTCGTGTGTTATTCATCCTGGTAGTATGATCAAAGTTCGTCGTTTCCTCCGTGGTTCACAGAGGTGGTGCTGAGGGTCCGGAGAGCTCTGTGGCTGGTACTGAGCATGCTCAGTCTGTCTCTGCTGCTGGTGGTGCTGGGAGCCTACACAACAACGCGCGCAGAGAGCCTGAACGTGACGGGCTACATGTCAGGAGTTTTTGTAAGTAGTGTCAAAAAGTTGCAATCCGTCGCAACAAGCTTAAAGTTTTGTCTTCTGGCCTCCGCAGGTGTTTAGCTCAGACACAGCTTTAATATTAAATGGTTATGAAATGTAATTAACATTCTACTGCTGTTGTTTGCATTCAGTGTATTCTGATATTCCTCAAACAGCAGCATCTACTGCATCTTTGTACTATAACTGCATTGAGTTTTGTTTACCTTCATCACGATGTCACACATTTTTCATGCAATGTCAGAACTGCGCCACACAGGCAGCTTTAAAGCTTTTGTTGAGATTTTTTTTTCTTGGAAAGGAGCCAACATTGAAAAAGAAAGCATCAGAGCTTTTGATTAACATGAATCTTCTGTCCCTTGCAGCTGACTCTCGGTTGTTTCCTGGGACTTTTAGGACTCCTCCTAGAAGAGAACGGCAAGCAATTGGTACTGTAAAATTCAATGCAATGCCTAAGATGTTCACTTTCCACTGCCATGATTTCACTTTCCACTGCCATGATTTCACTTTCCACTGCCATGATTTCTCATCGTGTTTTACTGAACAAACTCAGCATATTACTGTTATTGTTTCATCTCTTTTCAGTCATTTTGTATTAGGTTTCACACTGATACCTTAAGGTTTCTTCATCATTTTGGTGGCTGGTAGTTCTTCATTTGGAAATTAGTGCTCGAGGCAGTCCTTAAAGAAACCCCGCCAGTCTTAAAAAGACTCAAGACTTAAGAGGTTCTTCCAGAAACAACAACCTTGACGAAACAAATCCCACGCAGAATCTCAACAGATGAATAGATGTTAGGTCCAATAAACGAGCTGCCGTTCGCTGATATGACGTATCCGGGCGTTGGTTTTAGGAAAACATATTCCTGGCTCCCGAAAATTTGGTGTTTTCAGTTTCAAAGGTTACACAATCAAGGTTTTATGTTTCTACAGAACAGTTTCATTTTGCTCATTGTGGATAACAAATGAACTGTAATGATGCTCCAACAAACCAGAGGTGAAACCTGAGCTTCTCCAAGCTTGTTTTTGTTTCTTTCTTTTTTTTTTCTACATTAGATACAAGAGAGTATCTAGAGCTGCACACAAATTATTATT